AAGACCCCGAACCAAGAATTCCTATACAATATTAATCATTTCTGGGCTGTCGAACCGTGACGTCACCTGATATGCCAGCTTGGCAGCTGAGCAGAGCAGTAGACAAAACATGAAGAAAATAATGTGTGTGGCTGTTGTTTTCGTGGTGTGTATCTAAAACAATTTGACATAACATTACACATTAAGACAAATATTATGGTTACTTTTACCGTCATAATAACATTCGTCCCTGACTGCCGCCTTTCTCTGCTTTTAACTAACCTTGCATTTAACAGCCTGAGGAAGACATCCTGGCTGCACTAACATTCCTAGACAACAAATCTCTGAATATCTATCTAACTAAAAAATAACCTAACATTATCAATTGCAAACCTTTTTACTCTCCCCATGAATTCAACAGTTTCATGCTAATGGCAGTGTACATAACACTGCAGGCTAACGCTAACGCGCTACGGCTCTTGGCAGAACAGATAACTAGCGTGGAGCTAGAACATCCCGACTCTCCACTTATTGTTCTTGGGGACTTTAACAGAGCAAATCTCACCCATGAACTGCCCAAATACAGACAGCACATTACCTGTCCCACCAGGGACAAAATCACACTGGACCACTGCTACACAACAATAAAAGATGCCTATCTCTGTCCCCCACGCAGCCCTCGGACTCTGATTACTATATGGTCCATCTTATTCCAACCTACAGGCAGAAACCTAAAGCTGCGAAGCCTGTAGTCAAAACAGTGAAGAGCTGGACTGAGGAGGCTAAGTCAGAGCTACAGGCCTGCTTTGACTGCACCGACTGGAGTGTATTTGAGACTGAAGCTACCGACCTGGATGAACTCACTGACACTGATATCTTATATCAGTTTCTGTGAGAATGTGTGTGTGCCCAAAAAGACCTTCTGCACATAAAACGACAACAAGCCCTGGTTCACAGCAAGACTCAGGCAGCTTTGTCATACCAAAGAGGAGGCTTACAGAAGTGAGGACAGGACTCTGTACAGCCAGGCAAGGAACACACTGACAAGGGAGATCAGAGCAGCAAAGAGGAGCTACGCTGAAAAGCTGAAAGCTCAGGTTTCAGCCAACAACCCCTTGTCTGTGTGGGGGAGTCTGAAAACCATCACTGGCTATAGGAAACCACCCCCCACCCACTGTGGAGGACCGTCAACTAGCAGACGACCTGAATGTGTTCTACTGCAGGTGTTCTACTACAAGATTCTCAGTGAGTGCCTTCTCTCACAAATCATACTTTTCAACCGGTGACGGCAAGGTGAGGCAGCAAAATTGCCTCTGTTGACCTATAGGAACAGAACCAAAGAAGAACCAAATCAGGGCATTATGCAGTGCCTTTCAAAACTGGAACAAGATTTGAGTCATGAGTTTACCAGGTTGGTGATAAGAGGGAAGAGAGGCTGTAAAGTACCTGTGCTGCTTACCAGCGAGATGACAAAATCACTTGATTTCCTCATTGAGCAAAGGGGCGAGGACAATGGCATTTTGGGTAGTAATGAGTACGTCTTTGCCAGACAGCATTTGGATTCTCATCTCTGAGGTTCAGACTGTTTGAGGAACTATGCAGCTGCAAGTGGGGCAAGGAAGCCTGAAACACTCACGCCAACTCACCTGAGGAAACATGTGGCTACACTATCTCAGATAATGAACCTGAGACTGAAAATGAGTTGGATCAACTTGCCAAATTTATGGGACATGATATTCGTCTTCATCATGAATACTATCGCCCAACCGAGAACACACTTCAGGTTGCAAAGATGAGCAAGCTGCTCATGGCAATTGAACATGGAACTGAGGTCTACAAAGGCAAATCTCTTGATGAGATTGATTTGGGCATACAAAGTGAGTAGAA